GTTTGATCGGGGTAAAAATCGGGTGTGATTGAGTTGGGGCGATCAGCTGATCGTGATCATCTGATTGCCCCCGATTGCATGAAATTGGCTTCCAGGCTTCCTCGAAGTTGTTGATCGCTTCTGATCGGGGCGATCAAACTCGATTGGGCCCACGTCCTAACGGGGATGCCCTCAATGTGGCATGGCACGACAAGCATGCGTGACGCGACCTACCGCGGTTTCGGTTCAGGCGTGTTACGCAGGCTGTTTGCGAAACAAGTGTGACTTTGTCGTGAGCATGTGCGCGCTCTCATGCGACGTCCGTACGCTTTGACGGATATCTGAAATTGGGACCTGCCACAGTGAATCAACACATTCATTATTGCGAATTGGATCAACATGTTTTAGGAATACTGTAATGAGCATTCTCATCAGTGAAGTTGTTCCGTCCTCGTCAACAGCAATACATCTCCACATTGCAGAAACCCAGAAATCTCATCCATTTGTTGACGTGGCTCTCCCATGATTGAGGAGTGCTGTCATTATCAGCCCAATGGCCCCACCAGGTCCAATGTGGCCTGTAATTGGATGTGGATGACACAGATTCTCGCCAGCGTCAGCTCATCAGCGCCAGTTCGCTAATTGGCGCAGAACACCCCTACTCGGCGCAGAACACCCCCTGGTTCAACCCCTCCCTCCCCTTCCCCTGGTTTTCTGGTTCGCAAATGCTCTTGCGCACCCCTTCCTTCCCCTTGTCATCCTTCCCCCCTCCCCCCTTTCCTCCCATCCCGTTCCATCCCCATCAGACCAGCTCGAATATTTCTCAGCACCATGTCTTACGTTTTCCTCTTTCCTGGATTTCTTTTAGAATCCTTGCCCATTTCCTTCCTCCCTTAGGCTTAGGGAGCTCAATAGAAATCTCCTAGGTTAACTCAAATATTTACTCCCGGAGTAGGTATTACTTGCTTTTTACTCTAAACAAACTTTGTGATTTTGTGCTCATGATCGGAGGATTTTAATAGTTTTATCTTTCATTAGCTGATACAACAGCTACAGCTTAGCTTATCTCTGGTAGAAATGGCGTCAGCAAACTTCTTCTCCCTTTTGGGGGGAGACGAAGTAGAGGATCCGGGGGTCTTCTTGGCTCGCGCTGAGGAGGAACAAGCCAAGAAAGCAGCAGCTGCTCCTAAGAAAGGTATCCACCAATGTAGTCACTGTTGCAGCCGCCTTTTCACCATATTCATACAACTGCAGGGTTGCATTTGATCAATCTGACAACCTTGAGGTTCTTTTTTTCTGCGGTCTCGTCGATTTTTTCCATCCAGATTCCAAGCCTGCTGCTAAGACAGCAGCCGCCGCGAAGCCCACACCTGCTGCGCCAGCCGCCGGTCGCGGAGCCGGCGCTGGAAGAGGCGGAGGTCGTGGTGGAGGCGGACGGGGAGGCGGACGGGGGGGTTCATACCCCGCGGAGGGGGGCCAGGATGGCGGACAGCCATACAGGAACCGACAGCTGCGCGGAGAGGACGGCGAGGTGTCCGGCGGCGGTGGCGGAATCCGCAGCGGTGGTGGTGGCGGCGGCGGCGGTGGTGGCGGCTATGGCGGTCGCGGTCGTTCTGGCGGAGGTTCCCGGGGAGGCGACGGGGAGCGGAGTGGACCTCGTCGGGAATTCGATAGGCACAGCGGCACTGGCCGTGGGTGAGTTCTTGGCTACACGACGATGCTTGGAAATGAACAAGCGGCTAGGTTCGATTATCACCTAATCGTCGACGATCTAATCAAGTGACGTTTCTCGGGTTCTTTTCCTGTTCTCTTCTTGCATTGATTCGATCTGCAGCCACGAGATGAAGCGCGACGGTGCCGGACGAGGCAACTGGGGGCGAGCCGACGAGGTGCCGCAAACGGGGTACGTCCGTTGGAGTCTGGTCGTCGTTGTGGGTTTTTTCCTTGTATTTAGATTATGTAGAGTGTTTTCGGTGTCTCTATTTCTTCCTGTCCCAGGTGCTGTTACTCACATTCCTTTCTATGAGCTCCGTAGCTTTCTTTACAGTGGCATATGATGTCGCTCTTCAAGAGCTTAAATATACGTTGAAAAGAGCGCTTGCTCTTTACTGAGCACACCTTTTTCCTGATGCTACTACACCTTACAGCTTCTACTGTTATCTACCTTCATTGCTACCTTAGTTTCTGTTGGCGCCGTCATGGGTGCCGTTTCGACAAACATTCATTGGCACAGGAAGCTACTCATTTAGAGCAGTCAATCTCGTGAAGTCATGTGCAAACATGCAGTAGCGCGTGATGTCGCTCGTTAAGAGCTTAAATATACGTTGAGAAGGGCTTTTGCTCTTCTATGAGGTCAATTTTTCGCTGATGCTACTGCCCACTTCGTTTCGCTTGCTCCGTTGTCCATCAGACCGGCAAATGCGGCGACTGCTGTGGAGGAGTGTTCTTTACCTTCGTTAAACCTCCGTCCCGATACGTCACAAGTGTCGCTAATAGTTCCGCCCTGTGCCATTTCCTCACCCGCTGGTACATTGTTTGTGCTGCTTGCCCTACAGCGATCAGGAGGAGACGGGCGAGGAAGGCGAGGTCAAGCAGGCCAACGGAACGGCGGAGGGAGAGGCGGCTGCTGCTGAGGGCGATGCTGCTGCGGGAGAGGCTGCCGCTGAGGCCGCCCCTGCTGAGGAGGAGGACAAGGTGAGCCGTGAGTCGTTTTTCATACGATTGACCTTGTGCGTTTACAAGGTTTGATGCGTTTACAAGGTTTGATGCGTTTGCCCTGTGCTCCCCATCCAATAATGTTGTCCCCAAAACCCGATGCATTGGGCGTCTTTCAGTTCGGAGCCACGTGCGCTGCTCCACCCGTCCACCGCCCTGAACGCTGCATTTTTGTCTAACTTTCTCAAACGCACTCTTCACCGCAGAACTTAAACGAAGCTAGTACGAGATTTCCGTCATTTCCCGTGCCACTTGTCTCCGGGCTGCAGAGCTGGAGAGCAAGACGAGTAGGGTGAAGCACAAGCCATCGTACGCCGCTCACTCTTCTATCGTCCTTCCCTCCCACCCTCTACCCCTTCCTGCTTATCCATCAGGAGATGACCCTGGAGGAGTACGAGAAGGTGCGCGAGGAGAAGCGCAAGGCGCTGGCGGCGAGCCGCACGGCGGAGGCGCGCAAGGTGGAGGTTGACCCGGAGATGGCGGCCATGGCGGTGCACAAGAAGAAGGACGTCGATGAGGACGCTGTCTTCGTCAAACTCGTAAGAAAACACCTCCCTCGCTCCCTAGCTCCCTCGCTCGCTCGCTCGCTCGCTCCCTCGCTTGCTCTCTCGCTTCGCTCTTGAGATGGCGGCCATGGCGGTGTACAAGTAGAAGGACGTCGATGAGGACGCTGTCTTGGTCAAACTCGTGCGTCACGCTGCACTTCGTCCTGTCTTCCTCCTTTCTCGCTCGCTCCCTCCCTCGCTCTCTCGCTCCCTCCCCCCCTCCTCCCCGCTCCCTTACCTTGCTCACTGCATCCCTTACTCACTTCCTTAATCTCTTTCCCCTCAACTCGTTTCCTCTCTTCCCTCGCTCATTCTCGCTCACTCCCGCCTTCGTCTCTCCCTCCGTTCTCCCTCCCTGCCCCTCCTGTACCCTTGAAACTTAACTTTCCTTCTCCGCCCCTTGCAGGCCGCTGACAAGGCTGTGAAGAAGCGGGAGAAGACAGACGACGAAGACAGGCCCAAGGTAAGCCGTACGAAGATGTGTCTCCTCGTGTGTACGGGCTGGGTTCTGGGTTTTGCTGAAAGGTATCACTCTTGGGGTATGCTCGGCTCGGGTCTTGGAACACAGAAACACTGGTTGGGTATCCCACTGTGATATCCTCACACTTTCACTGGTTGGGTTTTCCTTCTGTTTCCCTCTCCTCTTTCCCTCTCATGTACAGTGCACTCCTCACACATTCAAAGCATGGTAGATGGCTTTCAATCTAAACCACTCTTTGTGCTCATTCTGTCTTTATTGCCTTTTCAAGGCAGTCTAGTCTTTGTCCTCGCCTTCTGCCCCTTTTCCACCCCTCTTCACCCCACTGCACCGCATTTTACATCCTTTCCTCCAATCCACCGATCTTCTCACCTCCGATCCTATCCTCCCATCCCCCCCGCTCAGACTGTCAACATTAACGATTTCCTCAAGCCAACAGACGGCAGCACCTTCAACCCCCGGCGCTCAGGTGGCCGTGGTGGAGGCAGGGGGCGTGGTGGGGGCCGTGGGGGACGCGGAGGGCAGCAGCAGCAGCAGCAGCAAGCAGTCGAGATAGCGGATCAGACTCAGTTCCCCTCGCTGGGGGCTGCTTGAATTGTCTGATCCAGTGTGTTGTTGTGCTCTGATAAACAGCAGTTTGGGGTGAGGGGGGGAGGGATTTCAGGTGGTTTTGGCAGTGGTGAGCAGCGGTTGTGGGTTTCAAGCAGGGGGTGGAAGGGGATGTGGAGGGCAGTGACTGCTGCAGCAGAAGCGGGAAGCCATGGCAGATCGTGCACACAATCGCATATTCTGCATTTAGCTGGTGCTACCACGATTTTTTCTTGTTTGACAGGGTAGTCATGTCGGATCTCTTGATTTTTAGTCGTACTGTAGCTTGTTTGTTTTGGCTTAGCAATGCGCAGATATGGGTATGTTTTATTCAGGGCTCACAACAATAGTCCTACAACACCTTTCAACAAGTGTCTGTTACAGTATGGGTGGGCACAAATACTGTAGCAAGCAAACCATAATCAACAAAATGTAGACACTGAAAGATCTCACGCCACCTGTTGAGCTTTCCCTTCACCTAATCTTGTCCCACCCTCCCCATACACACCCCAGGTGCTTTCCTCACTATGGTGGTGGTGGAAGGGATGGCGAATGGGATGATGGCTGCTGGAAGATCTTTGACTGGAACTGGTGGTATGAATAATAAAAATACGGTAAGGAGTTATATAAGAGGTATTAGCACAATGCAGTTGGGCTTTGTTCTCAACGAATGTACCCTCAGCACGGTGGGGTTACTACTCTATCTGCGGAATCCGCAGCAGAGTCGCCAAAGGCTTGTTCCTGTGGCGATTCGTACAAAAAGGGGTCTGAAGGGAGGGGATATGAGAAGGTAATGAGGAGTGAATGGGCGGGGTAGATGAGGGGTGAGCTGAGGAAAGGCAAGGGCGGGGGGGAAGAGAGAACGTTGTGGGAAGGGAGAGGAGGAAGATGACGGTTGAGTGGGGGGGCGGTGGGGAGGGAGGGAAGGGAGATGAAGGGTGTGTGGGGGAATGTGAGAAGAGGAGGGGAGGCAGAGAGTGGTGGGGAGATGAAGGGTGGGTGCAAAAAACGGGGCAAGGAAGAGCGTAGAGATAAGCGAAGCACGCAAGGAAATGAGGGGAGATGGGGGGGCGGGGGGGGGTGGGGCAGGGGGAGCGGGGGTTGGGGAGAGCGGGGGAGGTGAGGAACGAGCAGGAAAGATGAGGGGAGAGCGCTGACGATGAGGGGAGAACGGGGGAGATGAGGGGAGAGAGGGGGAGATGAGGAAGGAGGTTGGGGGATGAAGGATGCGTGACGTTTCTAGGTAAAGTCAAGGGAAGAGCGGGGGGGGGGGGGGGGGGGGACGGAAGGAGGAGGGAAGGGAAAGCGGGAGAAGGGGGTAAAAGGGGGAAAAGGCCACTCTCGCCAGCCCTCTCCGTTACGGTTTTCTCATTACGCGGCTCCAATAACGACTTTCACCAGTCCATAATCATATCCATAATTAGGCGTTGCGAATGTGACCGCAATCCTAAATTACGACCCAAAAATAGTATCTGTAAACGGTTACGAAAGCGACGAATACGAACGCAGATGAACGTTACTATCCATCCGCAAATACACGAGCATAAGAAATCGTCAGCTCTTATCCCTATTGGCGCAAATATGGAAAGAACAACTACTAAGGTTTGACACTTACCGCACTAGACGTGTCAAGTGGCGCACACCGAAGTACGAGTGAAGCGCGATCGCAACTAGCTACGGTGCTGAGATCTAACTTCCAAGTAATAATGTCTAAAAAGAATCAGAGGCTCCACGTAATAATGTCCACCGCACTTGTCGCTGATCTATCAAAAATCGGTTAGCGACGATATCTACGGCGATACTAAAGAATGCCTAGGTCTAACGGGACTAGCTAGCTATTAGAACGCCATAATGGTGAGTGTAAAGAATAAGGTATGGCAGGTGAGAAATTGCGAGTTTGGTGAGGTTGATACTGTAATGGTTGTGTGATGGGGGGGTGACGGAAACATTCCGTGCTGCCGTGGAATCACAGTTCATTCCTATTGGCTTGCGAAATCTCTTCGCGATCCCTTTGTATTTTCAGCTGCCCGAGTCCGGTTTGTAGGGGCAAATTGAGTTGCGAAGAAAAGCTAAACTTCCCGCGCCACGCTGGAATTCTCTAACCATTCCACCGCCGCACCTCACGCAAAACTCACGCAAAAAAAAACCTATCTATTTTGAAAAGCGCCACCTCTACCACCTCCTAAAAAGTTCGAGCCTGCCCTAGGTCCATCCTCCTTCCCACAATAATACGCGCCCTCAGCAGATTCGTTTGCATGAAAGCAAAGCAGACACAAAACAATAAAATTATACAAGCCATTGTGTGAAGAGAACATGTACATCTTTGTTTGGATCGGTCGGCTAAAAATGTCAGCCACGCAACATTCTCCATCAGCGCGACCCGGCAGTGATTTGGATTTGCCGCCGTAGGATTGCCTCAATTGTTCTGACAGAGAGATTCTCTCAGCGGCTTTCTACGGCGTTGACCCATCACAATTGGGTCGGAGGCAGTGCGACGCGCCACGGTGGCCGCTACCCAACGAGCTCTCTGGATATGGTTGAATTCTTTCAATCAATCATCAATCGGCGGCACCACGCTTCAGTTTCAGGACACTTTTCCTCCTCGCAAACAACTGTTTAGGATCATCCCAGCACTGCCATCGTAGTCTTATGAAGTCGTACTCATGGCGTCCATTTCCAGTTGCTTCCTTGACGAATTTGACGAAGAATTTTCAGAAAAGCTCTTACTTACTGAGCTCGTTTTAGACTTCAGGCTACTAGCTCCACGGAGCAAACCAATCTATCTGAAGCCAACCGGCTAGTGAACGGGAAAGCCTATGCATGCGGCGGCGTGAGGTCGAGTAGATTAGGTGTCGGGTTTGGGGTGGGTGGGTAGAGTCTAGACTGAGTGAGCTGCCAAGTGCATGTGGCTGAACCGTTCACAAAACCGAATTGTCGCGGCAATCTCTGCACCGCGACGAAATTAAGTTGCTGCTGGCGCGGCCTTCCCAGTCGCTGCCTTAAGACAACTCTCAGCAACAAGAAGACCATGTCTGCCTTCCCGGCAAATCCATGATCGCCGCGAGGTCTTCACGCCAATACGGCGAGATCGCCAGTACGGGGATCAAAAGTTTCGCCATTACGAAGACCACGTCGGTCTTCCCGGCAAATCCAAGTTCCCACGAGGTCTTCACGCCATTACGGCGAGCTAACCACGAACACGGAGACGACAAGTCTTAGCGACACGACGACCACGTCGGCCTTCCCGTCGCTCCCCGGAGGTCTTCACCACCAGCACAGAGCCGGTCGAGTGGAGGTAAGCGCAGCTTATTTCGACTTCTTCCTGTAGCCGTTTTTGTTCAGTGCATTTCTTAAGCTGTTCAGCATTCTTCAAGTACTAACTTCTGTTTTCTTCCCGCAGACCTCGTGGAGACCGACTTGGCGGGACTTGAAGCGCCGACGCGAAGGCAAGCTATCCGCGGCAGATTCAAGATCCCACCGCAAGACCTTCACGCCTATACGGCGAGATCGCCAACACGGGGAACACAAGTTCCGTCATCACGAAGTCCACGTCGGTCTTCCCCGTCGCGGAGACGGTCGAGTGGAGGTAAGTGCGTATATTTTTCATCTACTTCCTGTTAGCCGATTTTAGCCTTTTTTTTAATTTAATCGTTCAGCAATGTTCAAATACTAACCTGTTTATTTCTTCCCGCAGACCTGTTGGCGACCATCTTGTCGAGAGTTGAAGCGCCGACGCTAAGCACGAAGTGCCGACGTCAAGCCTTGATCCTACCACGAGGTCTTCACGCCAATACGGCGAGATCACGAAGACCACGTCGGCCTTCCCGTCGCTCTCGGCGGTATTCACCAGCACGGAGACGGCGAGTAGAGGTAAGCGCAGCTTATTTCTACTTCTTCCCGTAGCCGTTTTGTTGAGTTTATTCTTAAGCCGTTAAAAAATCTTCAAGTACTAATTTCTGTTTTCTTCCCGCAGACTTCATGGCGACCGACTTGGCGAGACTTAAAGCAACGACGCTAAAACTTGAAGCGCCGACGCTAAGGCAAGCTTTTCTCGGCAAACTCGAGAAATCACCGCAAGACCTTCACGCCTATACGGCGAGATCGCCAACACGAATTATACAAGTCTCGGCAAACTCGAGATCCCACCGTAAGACCTTCACGCCTATACGGCGAGATCGCCAACACGAAGAATACAAGTTTCGCCATCACGAAGACCGCGTAGGTCTTCCCCGTCTCGGAGTCGGTCGAATGAAGGTAAGTGCGTACTTCCTGCAGACCTGTTGGCGACCTCTTGTGGAGAGTTGAAGCGCTGACGCTAAGCACGAAGTGCCGACGTCGAGACTTCATGTGCGGACACTAACACTTGAGCCGGCTACAACATTTCACCTCGTAAAGTCAGATTCTACCTGCTACGTCGTCAGATTTTACGGTTAACATCTCTTTTTATGCATAAGCTACTCCATAAGCTTGTAATGCCCAGCATTCCATCTCTTCGAACCTTTGACCACCAAAATGAGACTTACCATCATGAGGTTGCTGTGTAACTAAGCTATTACGGCCGATAGCTTAGTTTCACAGCATCCTCTTGCTGGTTAGTCCCATTGTGATGGTCAAAGACCAAGAGAGATGGAATGCTTGACATTTCAAGCTTTTGGAACTGCTTTCACATTACAAGAGATGTTTTCTATTAAATCTGACGAGGTAGTAGGTAGAATAAGATTTTACTTGGCTAATGTTCACGGCGACACCACTCGGAACGCAAGATTCGAACCAAGCTTCATGCCTACCTTGACAATCGGAGGTAAGTTCAACTTGATTTAACTTCTTCATGCAAACGTTAACTTCTCAAGTCGTTTCGCATTCTTCAAACTCTAACCTGTGGCTTTCTTCCCGCAGACCTCTTGACGACCGACTTGACGACCGCAGGCAAGCTCTTCACGACAGTTTCAAGATCTCGCCGAAATATCTTCACGCCACCAACAGAAGTCGCTGCCGTCTTTCCCCGTCACCAACACGGAGACGGTCGAGGTTTTTTTTTTTCAGTTTATTCAGTTTTGTCAGTTAACGTGTTTATGAGAAGAACTTTAACTCGTTGCACTTTTTTCTGCAGACGATCTTGTTCTTGTCGTCAAGCTTCAAGACGCGAATGAGAGCTTTTACCGTCGCGCGCTTGAAGTTCCAAGCTTCAAGCGGAATGGCGCTTCAAGCTTCAAGTGTAATGGCGATTCAAGCTCCGGAACAAGATCGCCGTTGGCGCTTCGAGCTCCGGATGCGGGTCAAGATCGCCTCGCCATTTATCGTCGCCAACGGATCCTTGACGTCTATCGTCAAGTTGGGGTAACTTTCCTTCGTCTTCTCAGTTGACTGGATTCAGCTCGACGCTTTCTCAGCTTTCTAAGTCAACTTGTTTTTTTCTCCCTGCAGGCCATGAAGACTTTACCTGAAGCAAGAGAAGGTTTCAATCGCCGACGAGACTTAAAAGCCGCCGAGATGAGAGTCGCCGAGATGATCGTCGTTCGGGCCAAGGTGAGCGAAGTCTACAGTCGCGAAAAAAGTCTACTCGTTTTCTGCTATGTTTCCGTTGTTCTCTTTATCCAATCTGGTACTAACGCGCTGCCGTTTTTCCCTGCAGGCCGCATGGCGACTGAAAGCAGCGCTTCTACCGAACGACCGCCTTGATGCCAAGACGTCGCCGCTGCTGAGGCTTGAAGCCATGTCGCCGCTGCTGAGACTTGAAGCCATGTCGCCGCTGCTGAGACTTGAAGCCATGTCGCCGCTTCTGAGACTTGAAGCCATGTCGCCGCTGCTGAGACTTGAAGCCATCTCGCCAAGATTGTCGCCAAAATTGATCGCCGGGACGCATTCGGAGACGCATTCGTCGGCGCGGCGTGTCTCACGTCACGAGGCGACGTGACGGCCTTGATGTAGAGGACTCTCCTCTACTTTGCAGGAACTGGGAGTTGTTCGAAACGATAGAGCTCTGTCTTAGCTTTCCAACGAGCCGTCAAACAAGTCGATCGCCTAAGTATTCTCCGAGATATAGGCGTTCACGTGCTAGGTAGTGCTCTTGAATGCAAGTATAGAAGCTCTCTGGAATATGTGTTCGAATGTACCTTGTACAAAGCAAACAAATTTATAGCATGCAACAAACATCGAGTCGCACAAGTAACCTCGAACCGCTACACTCTCGAAAGGTCGAGTAACATTTCGAAGGGGTGAAATTCAACTCTCGAATTTCA